GGTGCCATCAGTGCCATGCTATACAACAGCATCAGCCCCAACCCTCAAGCGAACGATATCTGGCCCGAATGCCGCAGTTCCACAAAACTACCCGCCAAATACTACCTGCTCGACAAGAGCAAACTGCTCGCATCTGATCAGGATCCAAAGCATCCCCCATCTAAGAAAAGTGGAAAGAAGGCAGTAAAGACTGCAAGGAATGAGGCGTCGCATGACGCTCTTCCCAGTCCTTCGGTTGGGCGCCCGAAATGGAAGCTGCCGGTTGAGCTTGTAGAGATGATCGCGGAACACCTCAACCGCGACGACATAAAATCACTACGTCTTGTAAGCCGCGAGATGAACAAATCGGTCTCGCAGGTCATCTTCCGGACAGTGGTTGTTCCCTTCAATACCGAGATCTACGGCATGCTAGCACAAGAGCACAAGCCTGACTTCAAGGGCAAAAAGCGCGCACGAATCGAGCAACCCAGCTACTTATGGAAGAACGCAAACGGCGATGAAGTGTACAACGGCCACGGCCTCGATGTCTTCCGCGGCTTCGGTACACACATTAGGAAGTTTGGCATGAGCTTTGAAGTCAACGAAGAATCGCTTTCCATGCCGCCCGTCAAGTCACTGACGGAGAAAAAGACAAGCTTTTGGGGTAACTACGACTGGCCACATGAAGAGTATCGTCGCTTCGATACCGTCGCTGGACTCGAAAATGCCGCTGATGAAACACCGCGGATGAAAACAGCATTTTCCGAGCTCAAAAGTGTCAGGGAACTGGCCCTTTCCATTGATAGCGGTTTAGGGTGGCTGAACGGACCGGACAGATCTATTCGAGCACGTGTCTTGCAAAAGCCATCTCGCGTCTTTGGCACTGCCAAAGCCATCCCAGATCGTAGAGCCCAGGCCCAACAGGAACTTTGGAATCACATTGAAGCATGCCACCAGAACGCTGGTAGCGATGTTAGACTGGCCACACTATACAGGATGGATGGTCAACTTCCTCTTTCCGAGCTGAAGGATGCCAACAATCTTGCAGATGAGCAACCACAGATGCCCTACTTGGATCCTCAGCTTCTCCATGCTGCTACTCCTTATGAACCCGGCGATCTCCCTGTTCCTAATAGCTTCGAAGACCCGCATGTTCTGGAGCGCTTTGTGTCAACCCCACCACCTTCAGGTACAGGAATTCTGTTCTCATCGAGTAAAATGCCATCGGAAGGAGCGCACCTTGTGAACCCTGTCATACCCGCCAAGCTCACCAAAGCGCAGAAAGAATGGCTATTGGAGACTGAGTGGGCCCAACGAGCGTTCGTGTCTTCGTACATGCTCTCTATCATCGACAACCCGACCACGTTCAAACACGTACATACGCTGAACATTTCCGGGCTCTCCGATCGTTACCTCCCAATGCTAAATCGTTCGGATTTCTGGGACGCACTACCAGAACTCCACAACGTTACTATCATGGTGATCCCATGCTGGCGAACTGTGCAAAAGGACGAGGTCGGCTTCGTTGACGCGCCAAAGATTTGCCCCACGCAAAGCCATGGTATACTATTCGACCTACTCCGCCATCATGTTGCTGGTCGAGCGAACATCCGTCATCTGAAAGTTGGTTTTGTCACTGGAGGCGAACATGCTGAGGGACTATACGCGAGGAACAAACTGCTATTTCCTGCTCCCGTAATGGACATACGAGGTCGTTCAGAGAATCCTCCTTCTATCCACCCTACGGTGCTGGTCGCGACTGATGCAGCTCTTGTGAAGGCAAGTTTGCTTCAGTTCCCTCATGTAGAACGACTCGTGCTGAACAACTGCTGGATTACGCCACCAGCTTTGCGCGAATTCGTCAAGATGCACGATCCGTACAAGCTGCAGACTTTGGTATTGGATTCGGTGTCACTTACGGGCATCCTGCGTCCTAACGCCAACCCACACCCGCAACCAGCGGCATTTCACAATATAATGCCGCCTCATCTTCCGGTAGGTGCACTATTTGGCGCTGTCGGTGCCCAAGGTCCGCAATTAGTGCCAAATCAGCAGCAGTTCCTTCAGGCTTATATCCAAACGCTTCAAACGCAACTTCAACATCTGCAGGCCAACGCTGGAGGTTTTCAAAACAACAATATAGCGGCGTTACATAACCAACTGCAACAGCAGATCGGACAGGTGCCCAACAACCCAGGACAACAGCCACATAATCAAGCTCAACCTCAAGGTCAAGGTCAAGCACCAGCTCAAGTTCAGCCTCAAGGCCAACCCCAAGCTCCGGTGCAGCCACAGGCGCAGCCAAACCAGCAGGTTCAAGCAATCGCTCAACAGCATATCAACTTCGCCACTGTGGCCCAGCTCGCTCAACAGGTCCATCAATTGCAAGGGCAGTTGATTATGGGACAACAGCCTCAACCTATTCCTGCGTTAGCAAACAATCCAGTTCCAGGCGACGCTCAGTCTGTACTCAAGGCACAGCCCCGTGAAGGCTCTTGGATGGACATCATTGATCAAATCTCACCCGGCACCAATCTCTCCGACTTTGGATCTGCGCATTCCAAGGCCGACGGCGAGCGCACTACCTCACTGCGAACAATCGAGTTTGTTTCATGCGGTTATGCCAAGCTGTCCAGCTCATCCTTTGATCAAGCTGATGTCGATCCTCTTGGCATGGCTGCTCACTGGCGCAACCAGATGCTTAGCAAGCGTATTGTCGCTCTTGCGCCTGCTATGCTGAGCGCCAAGTGGAGCCACCTGGGTGACATTGTGCAAGACATCGATCCTTCTGAGCTGGCTGCACTGGATGCGGCCTGGGACTTGCGAACCGGCTGGGAAGACGCTGAAGCAGCTCGCGCCGCTGAGTTTGATGGCATGCTTGCTGGTGGTACAGGGCGTTTTACAGGCACCATACGGCATTCGGATAGGGTGGCTGACGAGGCTTCTGCGAGTTAGTGGAATGCTTTTGAACGCTCTGATCTCGTTGCGTGTATGCTGACATGGCACCTAGATGTTTCTGAACTTTCGTCCCGGTTTCAGCGGCTTGGTATGTGATGGGGGTACTGATGAAGCTGTAAGATACTACCGGCGGGGTGTATGTTTGGTGTCTAGAATCTACTGTCAGCGGACTAGGCCACTTATTCAAATATGTTTACTAGCGGTATGAGTCTTGCACAGCAAGTGTCAGCCGTTCTACGAGAGGTTGTCTTGATTAGACAGGGCTCTGTGTACAGCGGCTTCAATTGACCATGTACAGTAAAGAGTATACATGTAAAATGCCAAAATCAATTCATGATCAACTGCTCTCTGTGTCTGCACTAGCAAGAGAGGCTAGAATAGCTTCAGATTTCACTCGGCATTGAAGTGAATTGCGTGTTGCGCTAAAAAGAAAAATGTAGGCCTTTGTATGCTTTGGTGAAAGTCTTCAAAGGAGTCTGACAACAATGCTCTACCATATATTCCCGGGTCTATCGTCAAACCGAATCACCATAGTGGCTCTTCCCTTTTCTCCAACCCGTAAGGTCACAATTACACCTTGCCTAACATACCCTCAATACATCAACAACCATGTCATTTCAGATTCACATCATCGCGGACATCAAACCCACACAAACCGCACCGGATCCACGTCCTACCACCGAGTCTTTGGAGCAATACATGGCACGTTTAGGCCTTCCGTCCAACGCGAAACCGCTGGACTTTCCTGATGAAGCGGCGAGGTACGATACTAGTGTGACGGTTGCGGAGGACTATGCAGCGCATTTGAAGGCTCGGAGGGAGATGTTGAGGGAGAGGGCGGTGAGGGCGAGGGCTAGGGCGGAGAAGGAGAGGGAGGAGGAGGAGGAACGGGAAAGGCTGGAGGTTGAGGCGGAAGAAGCGAGGGTGCGGAGGTATGAGGAGGAGGAGGAGGAGGAGGAGGAGGAGGAAGAAGAAGGGGATGCAGATGCGGAAGGTGCGAGTAAAGGCAGTGGTACTATTTTCGCGGATAAGGGCAATGAGGTGTCAAAGCGGCGGAATGTCTTTGGTAGGCTGAAGTCGTATCTTGGACGGAGGGTATTTGGGAAATGTAGGAAGGGAGCTTGAGCATCTAAGTCACCAAATGAGACACTTTCGATCTGTCGCAGGATCGATGAACAGTCGATTATGCACAACATGTCTTATCATTTGGTCTATGTGCTGGACACATACCAAAGAGTCACATTCTTTGTGAAGTAAGACAATATTGACGCTCTGAACTTACATAGAATATATATTTATAACGTACGACCTACCATCACAGCAACACCATCATCACTACATTTCCACCATCGCCATCGCCATCCTCTCTTTCACCACCCAAAATACCAAAACACCAACACACCCACTCCACCATGTCATCCCACTCCCTATCCTCCTTCCCCCTAGCCACATTCACCTCCGATCTCATCTCCAGCCTCGCCCTCCTCACCAACAGCGCCCTTGACGGCCTCGTCGCCGTGTTATTAACCTACTACACACACCGCGCCGACACAGAAGTACAAGACCTCAACAGAACCATCTCTTCACTTCAGGCAAAGGAACAAGAACTACGCCACAAACTCTTACAACAGCAAATCCAAACCGGGCTAACAATCTCTGAGCTGAGGGCTGAGAAAATGGAGTTGAGCCAACAGGTTCAGGTTCTCCAGGCGCAGCTCCAAACAAAAGATTGGACAAGGATTTCGGAGCTGAGAGAAGAGATGGAAACGTTGCGAGGGGAACTTCAGAAACGCGATGTGAAGATTATGGGGCTAGAGGAGAAGTATGACCGGCTTGTGAGAGAACGACGCGGAAGGTTTTGGGGTGTGGTACGCAGCGGGCTGTGTGCGGGGATGTAGGGGAGAGGAAGTATGTGTTAAAGGGGGGTTTTATAGCTGCGGTGGAAGTCAGGAAATAGAATCATGTTGTATGCTAGTCTAGCTCTATCCCTTCATACAAAGAACATTCGTCTATAGCCCCGTGGTTCTCCTGTGCTTCATCCGCGACATCGATCCCACATGCCCCTACTCATAACCCGCGGGTTCAACCTTAACCGGAAAAGCCGGCTCATCCAACCGACTCGCACAAGCCGCCTTCCAATTCTTCGGCGTATACTTATCCACAATAGCCTTGAACGCGTCCAGCGTGCAGAAACTAGTATCGCCGTCTAGATGCTTGCCTGGTGCTTTGCAGCCAGGTATCTCCATGACTTTATCATTGTACCGGAGACGGACGTAGTAGTCGTTTAGTTGGTCGCGCTGTGCGGGAGTGAGATCGGTGATGGGCTTGCGAGCTATGCCTTCGGGGGTGAGACTGGTGTCTGAAGTGGTTTTTGTGCTGCCGAAGAGGGAGGACCACCAGCTTTGGGTTTTGGGAGTGAGGTTTTGCTCTGTGGGGGTGGGGGCGTTTGGGATGGCAGTGGGGTTTCGCTTGCGGAACATTTCGACGGCGATGTGCGAGGTGAATGGGGGCCATTTCTCGCCGTTGAAGGCACCCAGTGACGTGAGTACGCCGGCCAGGGTAGTATCGTGGCATCCTGACATGGCGAAGCAGATGTTGGTTTCGCCGCCTCGTCCTTTGCCTAGTTTTCCGTCTACGCCGCCGACTTCAACGATGCCGGAGTTGCCGTTGCGCTCGACGCTGCCGACCATTCGGGAGGTGATGTCGCCCATTAGGCCGCCGATGCCGAGCATACGATACTCGGAAGACTCAGTGTAGCCTGCGTACCATTCCTCGACCGCGATCTTATCGATAATGGCACGGGCTTTGGGGTCGTAGAATTCCTTGGGAAGCTTGGTCTCCGGACCGTGTGCGTCGGTGGCGTTGAGAGTGTCCATAATACCGGAAAGCCTAGGGTGAGAGTCCACCGCTACTTTTTGCTCTCCTGGCATCCATTTCGAAAGCACCTTGGTGAGGTAGCGCATGTCATCGGTGTCGTTCCAGCGCTCAGCTGCACGTTGCGCAAATGCTCGGCTCAGTTGAGCGAAACGTCTACAGCTTGCGTCGTTGGGGAAGAGCGTTTCATCAGCCGGGGTTCGGGTGATGATTGTTGGTGGAGGGAAGTCGGCAGTTCGTGCGGATGGTGGGTAGAAGCCCCAGAAAGCTTGTTGAAGAGACTCTAGAGCGCGGGGAATAGGCGTTGCGCGTAGATAGATCATGTCACTATCGGAGATGAGCTCGGGCATGAACTTGAGTTGGTTGACGTAGAGATGGCGGAGGCGCTCTCCTAGGGCTAGAGTTGTCTCACGACCCTTGTCTGTGAGTTCACCGGGTTGACATATGGCATCAAATTCGCCTTTAGGTCCTGATGCGATGACTAGTTGTTGTTAGTGGCCGTCTGGGGTAAATGGGCGAATTTGGTACCGGGCCCATCATCCATGCCAAAAGTCTCAAGACGACGGCGATATTTCAGCTGATCCCATTTCGAAAAGTCCTTCGTGTTCAGTATTATACTGGTAAGTTGTCGGGCGGAGTTGCAGTAGGGCCAATCTTCTCGAGTCAGAAACCTCTCGATCAGCTCGTGAGAGATGTCTTACAAGGTGGCAGTCCAGTCTGATGATGTTAGCAATGGCATTGTAGTGCACGGACTAGGATGTCTACATTTTGGAAGCGCGGAGATACAGGGCTTCTTTCGCCTATGTGTAGACGTCAGTACATGAGCTTACTAACATGTGGGTGAGACATGGCTGTTACCCACCATGGCGAAGTAACTGGTATTTTAGTTAGTGGTGGTACAAGGAGAAGCTATGACATTGGTGCTCACAATCTGTACGAGCTGCAACTCAAGCTCTTTCGGATAAAGCTTATCGAGCTCGTCCTGCGAATAGAACTGCCGTGGGATCAGGGTCGTCATCGTATGTTTTATCAATCACACTGAGGCTTGGAGATGAAAATAGATCTATAATTATAGCTCTTCCGCTATGCAGAGCATGAACAATGAGGTTGAGGTGGCCTGGAAGGTTTCTGGAGAAAGCCCGCAGTCACGTGAAGCGTGTGGACGTCATGGCGTCTCATTGGCCGGAGGTATTCCGCACAGCATCGCGACACCTTCACGCGATTTGTGGCTGCACGCATTTCTGTACAACAATCCACGCGGGACGGTATACTGGACTTAGGGGCGTTCTTTGATTCGACATTACCGCGCAAATGAGGGCTTGAAAAGCGATTGTAGGTGTGCAAACTCATACGCCAAAAAGTTTCGATCTTACCAGCTAACCATCGTCGCCAGCGTTCACACCCCTCCACCCCCCTCAGGCTCGCCACAGCATTATGCTAAGCGCATACGTATGTCGACAGTGCCGGACACGTCTGGCCCGACGCATTGCCCCCGTGCGAAGCCCTCAATGGCAACCTCGAGCCACGATCGTTTCGCTGGCCGGCCGAAAGCCACAGGATGCCGCCGAACCGCCAAATGAAGAAGCATCTACGCAAAATAGAGATGAGGAAGACGGCACACAGGAAACGAATCGCAACGGACCAAATATAAGATTTACGAGCGCACGCGACGGGGAACCACCCCGCAGCCAACAACCACTGGGCCGATACTCCAGACTCATCTACAACGAAACAAACCAAGGCTCAACGTATGGTGGTGGTGAAGAGGAACCTGCATACGTCGATGCAGTACAGAACGGATCGTCTGGAATGGGCACAGCTTTTGCTGATCCAGTGCTCGACGCTCTCCGCTACGGCAAGATCAATGGAGCCTGGAAAGCGTTTGAGAGCATCTATACTTCACGCGACTGCAAAGCCTTGACGGAGCCAACAGATCGCGATGCGCAGCTATTAAGTGAAGACCGGGTATTTGCAAAACTCCTCAGAGCCGTCTCGAGTACCTTTTGCGCAGCCAGCCCGGGTTTGAAGGTTACACCGACTGCAGTACTTCTCAAATATGCGCAGCTTGGCATTGCTCGGAAAGAGTACTGGGTCAGACCAACAATAGGGTATTTGACGTACGAAATCATACGTGCTGTGAACCTCCCTTCTGGATCGGCAAGAGATATCCCTTCACTAGTCACGGAGCTGCTGTCTGTATGGCGACTCTTCTTCCAATGCATGGGGCCAGGGAGCGGTACAGTAGAGTCTGTCAGTACTGAATGGCACTTACCACCTGTCGACACAATTCCAGATATGCTTGATCAAAGACAGTTTAATATGCGGTTGCAAGGCTACATCCCCAACTATGTCGCTAGTCCTGCCTTGGCCTTTTGTGCTGTCTATTTCTACGGTATTTCGGACGCACTGGACCCAAACACACAAAAGGAGGCCGCTCCCTTTCTAGCCTTCCTTAGACAGCTACTTGCCGGCTCATTTGTAGACTCAGTATTGAAACACACAGAAACTCCGGACTTTAAGAAACTACCAGAAGATGTCCAGGTCACGATCATGGAGGAAATCAATGACGCTCCACGAAAAGCCCTAGTAGCTCTTGGAAAAGCCGGTGAGACCCTTGGTCCAGATAATACAGGCGACGAGTACACCAACTTGGAATCATTCTATATGACCAGAATAGCGCGTGCTGTGTCAAGCAAAAGCTCGGCAGCTGCGCTGGACAGCATGTGGCGAGAGACTGAGAAAACATACGCCACGCAGGGCAAAACTATACCCCCCGCTATATACAACGCCTTTCTTTCTGGGTACATGACTGTACTCAGCCCACAGCGCTCCGTCGAGGTCTGGAACCACATGATCGCTCACAAGGTCGAGCCAAATATGCACTCCTGGGTTGCGCTTTTGGAAGGATGCGCAAAGGCAAGGGATCTGGATGGCCTCAACGCAATGTGGCAGCGCATGCTAAGAACCGGTCTAGAGCCAAGCAACTATGCTTGGACGGCCCGTATCAACGGCTTGATGTCCCTAAAACAGGTCAACGAAGCCTTTGTCGCTCTGGACGATATGGGCAAACGCTGGGTTGCAGCCGAGCACGCTCTCGCCAACTCTCAGAAGCAGACCAAAGGACAAAAGGGTCCCAAAAAGGTCCAATCTTCCAGCAAAGCAGTGAACCCATGCACAAAGCCTTCTATCGAGGTCATCAACGGCGCCATATCCGCCATTGTACAAAACCGTAGCGAGAGAATGCACCACCAGAAGAAAGTAGAGTTAGTACAAAAACTACTCACCTGGTCGAGAAACTTCCAAATCAAGCCCGACGCCATCACATACAACTCTCTCGTACAGCTCTACCTAAGAGCAAACGACAGGAGCACCGCCTTCAAGATCCTCGCCCAGATGGAAAAAGACGGACTGGAGGGCGACGCAGCCACACACACGATGCTCATCAGCGCCGCCTTCGACAACCAAGTCTTCGACAACCTCACCCCAACCCAACAAACCGAACGCATCCTCAAGATCCTAAACGACCTCGAAGCCAACGGCCTCAAAATGAACGACTACATCTACGCCACAGCCATCGACCGTCTCCTGAAAAAATACTCCAATTTCCACGCCATGCGCGCAGTCATGGAACACATGACAAGCCGCAAATTCGTCCCCAGTGTCCACGTCTACACTTCCCTTATAACACACTACTTCCAGTCTGACCCCCCCAACATCGCCGGCGTCGACGACATCGTCCTCCGCCTCTTCAGCGCACCGCGCATGCCCAGCGACCGCGTCCTCTTCGACCGCTTGCTAGAAGGCTATGCGTCCTTTGGCGAGGTGGGCAAGATGATGAGCGTGCTCACGCGCATGAGCAAAAAACAGAATTTGCCTGGTTGGGGCGCCATGGCCGCTGTTGTGCGTGCGTTGGCGCACGATGCGGATTACGAGCGTGCGCGCGCGATTGTGAGGGATGTGGCGCGTGGTGAGGGTGTAGCGAGAGGGGGGATTATGGGGGATCGGAAGGGAGAAGCGTTTTTCGTAAGGACGATTCGCGAGTTGGGGTTGGCGGGGGAGATGGATGGCGGGGAGTATATGGGGGGTGAGGGGAGGGGTGTGGGCGACTTTGAGGGGGGTATGATGGGCCAGCCACAGTACCAGCAGTCGACTGCGCAGTTTGAACAGGTTGGGAGCGCGCAGTATGGTCAGCAGCAGTATCAGCAGCCGCCGGTCATGGAGTATAGTCACGATGGCACGACCACTGGACTTGAGCGCGAGTCTGGTAGCGTGGATGAGGAGGATGTTCATGGCTTCCTTAGGGATGAGCCTGAGCAGGGTGAGAAGAGGATATAGAAAGCCTCGGATGCCATGTATAATGATGTATCAATGACACTTTGCCGACAATTATCTTCCTCTCTTTTGATCGAGGTTATAATGAATCCGGCACCAATATGTTCTCTGAAGAACACGAACTACAGCTTGCTATACGCTACGTCGTCGTATTGACTTCAGTCATCCGCCACTCATGGCATCAGTTGGCGACCATGCCTACCAGTCTCCAGTCCAAGCTAATCGACCTCCCCAGGGTCGCATGATTCAAGAGAAGCGATTAGGTTTACAAGTGAGGCCCCCATAGTAGATGGCTATTCACTGTCCACGATAGCGCCTTATGCGAAACGCATTACTCCATATCCTCACGACGCTCGCCTGCAGACCAGCCCAGCTCCAACATCGTCTTTCACTGAAACGCGTAAAAATGCAACAAGCTCACCCAAGACCAGCGATCATGGGGAAACCAAGTGAGGCTTGCACGGAGCTGTGAGTTGTCAAAACCCACGGCACGGCAAGAGCATCGACCGCCAGTTCAAAGACGACACGAGACGCGCGTCGCGTCAAAGCCGTCTCGAAGGCCTTTCACATTTCACATCTAGTAGGGAGTAGCAGCACTCTCAACGATGGGAAAGTGAATGTGGCATGACTGGATTTCGGGGTCGAAGACCGTGAAACAGCAGTGTGTGTGTTCTGTGGCTCCATGGGTAAGAGTTCAGCCAGATGATGGGTCAGGGTCTGAGGGTTCTGGACACTAGACCCCTTTTTACGGTTTGAGGCGGGCCGATTAGCGGTCGCCCAATGTCTTTCCGTGGTTTATGCGTCAGGGTCGCTGTGAGAGACGGGCTGAGACGGAAGTGAGCGGTTGTGGATAATGGCATGATGGTCTGTTTGACTCCGACGCTGGTGCGCTGCGGCCGGGGCGGACGGGCGGCTTGCGGTTCGCTGGGTATAGGGAATAGAACGTGCGACTAGATTGCTGCGGCCTCTGGATCATGACATTGAGTGATTAGGAGGTTCTGGATGCAAGAAAGTGTGTCTCTGTGTACGCGGCCTTTGGAGAGGGGTACAGAGAGCGCCAAAGATAGTACACAGAGTGTGTTGGCAGGGACGATCTTTCAAGTCTGCAGTTGGATGCTTCTGAAGTTCGATGGCTGTAGTAAGTCTATGGTAAGTGTATAAGGCCGGCCAAGTGATTGTCAGCCTGCCAATGCTACGCATGACAAAGACGTGTAGGCATGGCCTTGTTCTAGAGACCGGTGTAAGCCCGCGTGTAGTACTGTCAACAAGTCTCCAGCTGCATCACTTGCAATTGTGTCTCTGCATTTGAGGTTGGAAATTTCCTCTGCATGCTGATGACGCGTCCCATACTCAGCCCTGCTCCAGTGCGAAAATTGTGCAGCTGCTGGAGAATGGCGCAGTAAACGTTCCCACGAGTTTCCATGAGGTTGGCCGATAATCGGTATCGTGTAAACTGACTTTGCCTGTACCTGCGATGCAGATCTGATAGGTAGGGCTTATCCTCATCTTAGCATGGGTTGCTGGCTACGCTGGAGGGATGAGCTGGTTTTGATTGGGCGGCAGGACCCGCGCGGGCATGAAGCAGTGACAGCTGTGACGTCTTAAGTCGTTGTTGACTCAAGACGAGTGTTTCAAGATTCAAAGGTCTCATGGCCAGTGGAATCGGGGAAGCTGGTCGGGTCAAGT